ATATATGTATGTATGAAGCTATTTTTTTAGGTTTATTGCCTAGCTGTCAAGCTTCATTAAATTATTAAAAAAGTTGTTGTTGTTTATTGTTTTTATTGTTGTTTATTGTCTATTATTATTATTGTCTATTATTATTGTTATTGTTTATTGTTTATTGTTTTTACAGTTGTTTATTGTCGAGCTAAAACTGTTGCTAAGGCTTTCCAGCTTTTGAAATCTGCATTCAACATCATCCAGACAGATTTGTTCCGCCTCAAACTTGTCCTAAATGCCGACAAAACCAAAGGGATGCTTTTTTCAAATAGGAAGTTGGTCCCAGCAGTTCTTCCTCCGATTTTATCCTCAAATGGTGTCCTGATTGAGTTTGTTGATTCCTATAAATATTTGGGTATCTTGGTCGACTCACATCTTTCTTTTAAGCTCCATGTGGAAAACTTGATAAAGAAATTGAAAGTTAAACTGGGTTTCTTTTTCAGAAACAAATCCCGTCTAACCCTGAATGCTAGAAAACACCTTGTATCTGTGACTTTCCTTCCCTCCATTGATTATGGTGACATTATTTACATGAACGCTCCTACAAGAACCCTGCAGATGCTGGATGCTGTCTATCATGGTGCACTAAGATTCATAACTGGCTGTGATTATCGTACCCACCACTGCACCCTGTATTCACTGGTTAACTGGACATCATTAACTTCACGCAGACTCTCTCACTGGTATATTTTCATCTTTAAATCACTTCTTGGTCTGCTGCCTTCATACATCTCCTCCTTCATGTCTCTGCGTGAGTGCAGCTACGGAGTGCGCTATCAGGACATTATTACCTGCAGTGTTTCCTCAGTGAGGACTGAACTAGGCAAAAGAGCCTTCTCCTACTCCGCTCCTGTTTCCAGGAATATCTTACAAAATGACCTGAAGCTCTCGATCTTGACCTCTCTAAGTGTCTTTAAGAATCTGTTGGACACCTGGCAGGGTCCAATGCTGATATGTTCCTGTTTTTAGTTTTCTACATTTGTCTTGGAATCTAGCTGTTTTTAGTTTTGTTACCTTTTCCTTTTAACCATCCTATTTGTTAGAAAAAAAAAAAAAACTGTAGTATGCTTTTTTATAACTGTTTATTGTTGTTGCTGTTGTCCATTGTTGTCATCTTTCTTTGTTGAAATCAGGTCTCTCTTGTAAATGAGTCCTCGAGGCTCAATGGGATTTACCTGTATAAATAAAGGTTGATTGATTAAATGCCTAAGTTTAGAGAGCATTTCATTTAAAGAATGTTGTCCTAAAACCACTTTTAAACCTGTTCAAACTCCATCTTCTTGAATGGTTTTCGTGGTCACCATTGCAACCTAACCCTATGGCTACCCCTACCTTGGATAAATAATGTTGCTAATTGCATTTTTATGTATTGTATTATATATTATGTATTTGTATGCCCAGAGATAACTTTTGTTGTGACTTGGCGCTTTATAAATACGTAAATTGCCTTGAATGTTGACCTTTCCAACATGGCCAACGTTTAAACGCATTAGTGTAGCTTCTGGAGGTGCTTTCCTTTTTCCTCTTTTTTTAATGGCTTCCTTGTGTGCTTTTATTTTGAAATGTGGAAGTGTGACGTCACTATAGCACTCATCAGCTAGAGGCGTACATCGGCCACCAACAGGTACTTATTTTAAATACTAAAACGTATCTTTAATGTTCTCTTTTGGCTTGAACCTATGTTAGTGTGTCACGTCTTTCGGGTAAGGTCCCTGACTTATATTAAATGCAGACTTTAAGTCGGAAAAGAACAAATCATTGTAAAATAGCTAAAATTAGCTTATCGACATTACTATGGCGGTGTATTAAAGACGTAATAAGCTAACGACGTGGTAGCATCCCACTGTATGTGTTTATAAACCGCAGTTCGGGCTGGTATTTCGTTACAATAGCTTTAAGTTTGCTATGTTTTTGTTGCTTCAGGCATGCTGATCTTATGAGAAGCAGAAAATATTTCGTCTTGAACATGAAGCGGACAAAACATCTACAAATATTTTGCATCTACGATTTTGCGTCTTTCATTTTTTTTTATGTTCATCTTGTTAGCTGTTGTATTTAACACATCCAGACATGAACTTCTTGCTCATTACTGACTCTACCTGCCACCCCCTTAAAAGAAATGACACCTGAGTCGTGACCACAGTGGCAGAGTATTTGTGTGTGATTGTTTAAGTGGGTTATTGTTGTAATATTCAACATTACCAAACGTGCAAAGCTTGCTGCTGTTTCACACGTACTCAGTGCCGGAGGAGAGTCCTTCCTGTATGTTCTCAGAGATGATGTTTGCACAGCACAGACCTTCACCCTCCTTTGCTCTCTGATGAACGACTCTGGTCCTGTTAACAGCAATGAGTCATCAAGAAGTAATGCAGCTCATTTCAACAACTCTTTACCACTAAATCATCCTGTGGGTTTCAACTTTATTGTGACACACAACAGCTGGCACACTGAAAGGAGGAAGGGTTTGATGAGCTCTAAAGGCAAGCAGCACTTCAGATTGTCTGGACGGTTGTACCTCTTTTTCATTTGTTCGTTACAGTGTTGGTCAGCAGTTTACGTAGAGTTATCATTGGCGTGCATGCCATATTAATTTGGGGCGTTCATTTATTAGAACTATTTCTTTTTCCAGGTTACAGTGATTATGCAACTTTGATGGTTTTTAAAAACAAGAATTGCACGCACAAGTTTGAATTCATTAAGACTTCTTTGGGATCAATTAGACTAAAACATTGGACATCAGGGAGAATAGATCACATCTTTGTTTTCAGCCTCTGTCTTTCATGGAACATGTGGGATTAGGAAGTGTTTGGCAGTCTGACATTGCCTGAAGCTAAAAATATGTCTTGACAGTGCTTTACTTAAATAGGTGTGGCTTTCTTGTGTCAGTTACTTGTTTTCATTTTTAGTTGCAGATGATTAAAACTTTTTCTCCGAATACCATGAAATGGTTACTTTTTGTGCACTGGTCATGCTGATTCAAGATTTGCCTGATTTAACCAGTTAGAGTTACAGTTAGCGTGACAAATTAGAAGCCTTTTTTTCTTGTAATTTTGATGTTTATGAGTTAGAAATATTTTAACACCAAAATTCAGTGTCTCAAAATATGTAACTCACGTATATTACGAGTACACATTTGAGTATATATGTATGAATTTCACTTTCTGAAATGATTGTCCAATTTTATTTTATGTTTTCGCAATACTATATTATTCTATTTTTTTGGATGCACCTTAAAGTGAGTGTTCATCTTTGAGTTGAGGCATTTATTTGCCAGTGTAAACTGTACGTGTGTACAAAATGGTAATACCTGGGGGTACTAACTGATAAAAGTTTGACATGACCTGGAACCAAACTGCAACAGTAGTTTTTAAGCATTCTCCATCAGTCGTAAAATGTTTGGAATATTTTTCTTTTGCATTTTCTTGGTCTTGAAAAGTATGAGAAAACATCTGTTTTCCAGAGTATTCCTTATGTATCGTATACATTTGCTACATGACTCCAAATGTTTGCACATAGTTTACATTGTAAAATGTTTTGTGAACCTCATAAAGCTTAAATATGTGCTTTATAAATGCGTTCTCTGTGCTTTGTAGCTGCTGTAGTGTCTGTGGGCTTGGACCCCTATAATCAAAGCAAAAACTATCAGTAACCTCCTTCCCCTTCCTCAGACTTTGACCTAATAAAAATAAATAAAATAATAATAAATAATCAGATCCTAATTGAAAAAAAAACCCATCTGATACAACATTGCTTCTTTGTCTCAACATTTTCTCACTTCCTCAGGCTTGAACCCCAAAAAACACAAAATAATACAGTAAGAGCTTGTCCCCCCTTTGAATCTAAAGCCATAATATAAATATACTAGAAAAGAAATAGACAGAGCTAGCTGTGTTTGGAGTCAGAAAATGTTTGAATCTTAAAACAGGAAAGGCGTTGGATCCATCAGAATCAGAATAAACTTTAATGGCATTGCACCGAGATACAAAGCGAATATGTACGTACAGTCGTCCGAAAGATGGGCGGAGTGCACGAAGCTGCGGCTATAAATAAATAGCGCGGCCCTCTTATTCTTGTTCAGAATAATATTTTGCTTAGATGAGAAAAGGAAAGAAAACACGAGAGTTAAGTGGATGAAGCAGTGACAATGTGTGTCAATCTTTTGGATTATAATTTGTTATTTAGTTACTCAGTTATTATGAGTATTTTCCCATGAAATGATTCAGGGTTACATGTTTATCGCTCATGAAGGACAGGCCAAGCTGTATTTGCTTGGCTGTGTGTGTATTTGTCTGCCTGTTGGCAAATCACCACATGAACTAATGAACTGATTTGATTGAAACTCTTACAGTAAATATTTGATGTATACTACAACTGATAAAAATTTGGAGTCAACCTGATTCAACATTCCTATCACATCTAATTCATCTCTGCAAATAAAATAAAAAAAGTCCACAACAGCTACTACCAGATTTACTAAAGTTTAGCAGACAAGGCAGTGGACAATAAGCATTCTTTCAAGTAACCCTAGTTTCATCATTGCTGTTTTTCTAGTTTAATTTTGGTTACGTGTAAACTGATTGTTACTGTATCAGAGTTTTGTAGTTTTCAGTGTCACGTTACGGAGGAAGTTTTAAGCTTCATGAATAATAGCTACCATGACAAACACTTTTTTTCATCAGTGAGTGACTTGCACGTTCATGTCAGTTTTGTGTTGCAATGTTTTTAACTGCAAAATAAAACCTTGAGGTAAATATTTGATCACCTGGTTTGCATGCAAAGTTTGCAAGACTTTGTTTTGAATGAAACCTAATAAGGTCATTGTCATTGTTGGGTTCAGGGTTAGGGCTAAGGTGTGAACTGGGTTCACGTTAAGGAGTAGGCACAAACTATGGTTAAAGTTAAGGTTTAGGTTAGGCCACAGAAATGAGTCAGTGCAATGTCCTAATAAGGATAGAATGTGTTGAAGAGATACTTCATGTGTGAGTTAAGAAAAAATAATTGCGGATTTCCTGTTCTTTTATTCACTGAGTGGTCATTCAACAGGAAAACCTTGCAGCGCTTCTGGTTCCACTTCCTGATCATCAGTGACTCAGGCATTTATAGTACAGGCATTTTATGAACCCAAAACACATATACTGTACTGTACTTAGGATCTTACTGGAGCCAGTACATATTTCACTGCCAAGGTCTGCCTTTCATAGCCTGACAAAGCTGCTGTTCAAAGTCAAAAGTAGTTTATTCAGGCATATAAGGCCTTCCCGCCCACAGTTCCACAGCAAAATAACCACATAATAATTCATTACCAGGGCACAGAATGTACAAGTATTTACTGTAACACAGTATAAGCCTATCACAGCTTTACGTATATATGTTGTTGTGCATATTATTTATACTTACACAGATAAAACATGTTATTTTTAAAGCTTCAAATCTGTATGCGCCAAGTAGCCAAGCCTTTTCTGTGTCCCAAACAAACATTAGACTTAACAAAATTATTACAAACCGGATTCCAAAAAAGTTGGGACACTAAACAAATTGTGAATAAAAACTGAATGCAATGATGTGGAGGTGCCAACATCTAATATTTTATTTAGAATAGAACACAAATCACAGATCAAAAGTTTAAACTGAGAGAATGAATCATTTTAAGGGAAAAATCTGTTGTTTCCAAATTTCATGGCGTCAACAAATCCCAAAAAAGTTGGGACAAGTCCATTTTTACCACTGTGTGGCATCCCCCCTTCTTCTTACAACACTCAACAGACGTCTGGGGACAGAGGAGACCAGTTTCTCACGTTTAGAAATAGGAATGCTCTCCCATTCATGTCTAATACAGGCCTCTAACTGTTCAATCGTCTTGGGCCTTCTTTGTCGCACCTTCCTCTTTATGATGCACCAAATGTTCTCTATAGGTGAAAGATCTGGACTGCAGGCTGGCCATTTCAGTACCCGGATCCTTCTCCTACGTAGCCATGATGTTGTGATTGCTGCAGAATGTGGTCTGGCATTATGGTGTTGAAAAATGCAGGGTCTTCCCTGAAAGAGATGACGTCTAGATGGGAGCATATGTTGTTCTAGAACCTGAACATAGTTCTCTGCATTAATGGTGCCTTTCCAGACATGCAAGCTGCCCATGCCATAAGCGCTCATGCAACCCCATACCATCAGTGATGCAGGCTTCTGAACGGAGCGTTGATAACAACTTGGGCTATCCTTGTCCTCTCTGGTCTGGATGACATGGCGTCCCAGTGTTCCATAAAGAACTTCAAATCGTGACTCATCTGACCACAGAACAGTCTTCCATTTTGCCACACTCCATTTTAAATGACCCCTGGCCCAGTGCAAACGTCTGAGCTTGTGGAGCTTGCTTAGAAATGGTTTCCTCTTTGCACTGTAGAGTTTCAGCTGGCAACGGCGGATGGCACGGTGGATTGTGTTCACTGACAATGCTTTCTGGAAGTATTCCTGAGCCCATTCTGTTATTTCCTTGACAGGGGCATTCCTGTTTGAGGTGCAGTGACGTTTAAAGGCCTGGAGATCACGAGCATCCAGTAGAGTTTTACGGCCTTGACCCTTACGCACAGCGATTGTTCCAGATTCTCTGAATCTTTTGATGATGTTATGCACGGTTGATGATGATAACTGTTTAGTGTTCCAACTTTTTTGGAATCCGGTTTGTACTATCATTTGGTATTTCACGCAAAAAGTGTTGCCGAATTTTACGCTAAAGGTTTCAGACAAAAAAAAAGAAGTGGTTCTCATCTTCAGCAGCTCAATTCCAACATGTTTACAGAATAACACAGCCGCTTATCCCAATGAGACCACCTGCCATTTTCAGTGGCTAAAATATGTGCTGAACATCTTAATAGTAATAAGGACCTGCTATATTTTTTATTTTGAATGTTCAGCAAATAACTTTCTGGTTCAAGAATACTTTTATACTGTAAATATTTATTTTATTTTATTATTTTCTATAATAAAATGCCATGCTGTGTGAGCATTGCTGCACAAACGCTGATTTAAGGTACTCAAAAAGCATTATAACCACCAACACCTTGACCATTCCAGACATTACTTAAACCAAGTGAATGTAGTAGTTTTAACATGACCAACCCAACCCAAGCCTTTTTACCAACAGCATCTAGTTCTAAGAGCATTTTATAGCACTTGTGTGGATATCTATAAAAATCTATATTGGTAAGTTTCAACCAATATAGTACACACCTCTTCATGTACATACTCATGTGTTATCTCCCAAGTTCACCAAGAACAGCTTGGTTGCTAAAGGTCAGCCCTGCTGTTGACCTTTAGAGGCCTTTTGCAGAAATAGATTTATATTTGTTCTACAAAGTACATATTCTTTGTGTTCGTATCCCAATATTTTTGACCAATACAAGAATATTGATGATACCATTCTATCAAAGATGAAAAAAGCCTCTTGCTAATTTATCACTTACCTCATTTAAAAAAAAAATGTTATTTTCGTTTTTTTCTGCCACATTTAAGCCCTAAGAGCTGTTTTCTCTCTCTCATTTGCAGCCTGGAAGCAGCTTGTGCAATTCCCACAGGTGTGATGGGAGACTCTGTCTTCTTTATGGTGGTATTTGCATTTATTTGTCATAGCCACAGCCTGGAAATACAACCCCCCCTGCATGAGTCTAAATGGTAAGTAAAGTTAGCCTTAAGTAAGAAGGTTATGTCCACCCCCTCAGGCGTTCTGGGCAAAGCTAAACAGTGCATGGTCCAAGAACTTGTAGCGTATCACTGGAAAACTAACCGTTAGATTATATATTACAACACATCATCCAAACACAGTTCATGAGCCTCCTGTGGTCAGCTGAACATTCACATCTTTGGAAATTACTTTATATCAGTAGTTCTGCCGACTTTCTTGGCATTTGTTGCTAGTTTCTTTTGTTCTTGCATAAAATGTAAAACTTGAGTCATAAAAACACGTGTAAACAAACTATGCCTGACAGTCTTTATTCTTCACAAAAGTAATCAAAGCAAATACAGCTAATTATAGATGGTACATTTTGGGTTTTTATAAGAATATTCAAATCCAACACGTCCCTTCATAAAAATAAACAAAAAATCTTTTGGTGGGGCAAACTTTATTCATTTAATGTAAGCGTAATGTTTTGAATGTGGAGAACATTATATATGCATTCCTATGTGAATATAAGGAGTTGTTCTGTTTAAGTAAAGCTGGACAAATGACTTGTTACTTGTGCTTTCTACTGAGTGTCTCTCTGCAAATAAAGGTTTACATGCTGCTTCTGTGTTCCTTTATAGGGCTCAGGAAAATGTCTTAAATCCTGCCAGTGACTGTGTGTCCAGAACCAGGCCGCAGCCGGTCTTAAACGCTCTAAATTTTTCGGTGGATCTTCGAATGCCTGGTGTTTTGCCGACTGAGGTAAGTTCTTATTTTTCTTACTGAAGCATCTTATTTTGGAGAAATTGGGATAGACAATTTCCTAAACTCGTCTTAGTATAGAAGAAGTACATCAATGTACTTACAGTATTTTAGGACTTAAGTCTAGACAAAGTAGGAGGACACAGGCAAAATATTTAATTCCTTTAGTTAATAATATGGAATACACATCTCCTTTGTTGTCTCATCTAATGGCCCAGGCATTATTGTTGCATTTTTGACAAATTACAGAAACAACTTGACTTTCAGTATCAGTAAAAAAACAACAACAACAAAAAAAAAAGGCAAGGTTCTGTTTATGTTGCTTTTATGCAGTTTATGATTTTTATATTCATGTGTGACATCATCGAGGTGTTTTTTTATTTCAGTCGGACACTTACCTTTGCATGTCATTTCCGGTTCCAACTAGTCGAGATGCATACATTGGTGAGTAAATCTTTTGTACCTTTTTTTTATTTACAAGTTGTAATTCATAAACACACATAGTCCAATTTTGTCTAACTGTCATTTATCATTGACAGTTTATCATTGGTGTACCTTAAAGTTGTGCAAATACCTGAGTTATTAATTCGATAACTTTGGGCCTTTATTCAAAATAAATTTAATTTTTTTATCTCTTCCCAGTGGACTTTATTCCTCATGCCAGCATGGACACAGTCCACCACATGCTGTTGTTTGGCTGCATGAACCCTGTCTCCAGCAGTGGCTACTGGTAATACACAAATTATATTTTTTCAATGTATATGTAGAATTTAAATCCATTTTCACAAAAGGTAGTAAAACAGTTGTTTAACAAAGAAATGGACTTTAAGTGATGGCAATAAAGTTTATTAAAAGAGTATCCTGATGCATGCTCAATAATCCAGGTAGAAAAATCTATTCTGGTCCAGAGGACCAGACTTAACTTTTTTAGATTTATTAAAAGAGGAATGTAAAAGCAGTGTAGTAAAATGAGTGGCAGGATGAGAACTGGAGAATCAAATCCTCAGAACAGCTGGTGTTTTACAGAAAAGGACAAACAAAGCTACAAAATACTACAACAATGTCATAAAGTTTTATACACATGAATGAAAATTACCTGAAAGCCATCAGATTTAATTTGAAGCATTAAAAATACTAATGAATTGGAAAACCTAGATGTGATTGTCTACAATTACCATAGTTGTCCATGTCTTATCAGTGTCCTGAGATGACTTCTGTTGTGACTTGGCACTATATAAATAAACTGAATTGAATTGTATAGGTTTTATGCCATCTGAAAACTGAAGCAACCAGTCGAAGTTAGGATAGGCTTTTTTGTTTACGGTCATCAGCTGAACATTTAAAGGTAGAAAGTGACATCGGATGTGTTGTCTTTCTTCTAAGGGACTGTGGCAGCGTGCAAGGTACTTGTAAGGATGAAGCCTCCATTATGTATGCCTGGGCTCGGAATGCCCCACCCACAAAACTTCCCAAAGGTGAGAATCAAATGGATGGTTGATAGTTTGTGTAGATACTTTAGTGAAACCTGACCCTAATGCTCCCATGGCCTCCGGCATAATTCTTGTCCAGAAAAAAAAAATTTCTCAGTAGCTTGTGTTTAAAGGTTTACTTAAAAATTAAATATGTACAGCAAAAAGTAAACAAAAACAACATCCACAAGTTGGTAATTAAAACAGAAAAAGAGTGAGGGAGATCAAAAAACTGTCTGGCTTCACTCCCCATCTTGCCTCTCTGGAACTTTCTCTCCTGCTACACCCCACCCACATCACATGACTTAAATAAACATGTTACCAACCTACAACAAAAAACAAAGATCTACACATAAAGCAAATAACTTCAGTTTTGCATATAATCTTTACAAAATTTAGTTTAGGTTCCTACATTACCGGCCCCTAATTGTTAACATTGTCTTTGGAACAATTACTTAAACTCTTATCCAAGATGCCTAAAATATTTTTTAAAGAAAATCTATTCAAACAATGTGTCCCATCTTATACTATAATGTTCATAAAGCATTGACCTTTGAAAAGATCTTTATTCATCTTCAGATTCTTGAAGGAAATACAGCTTTGTCACCGGGCAGCCAAGCTTGTTGGTCTTGGTCCTTAATTTAACTTGACGGGCAAATCCTTTGCTGTCAGGAAATGTCTTCATTACCTTTCCAAGAGTCCAGGAGTTTCTGGGTGAGGTGTCATCAACAATGAGCACCACATCACCAACATGCAAGTTTCTTCTGGATGTGGACCATCGCTGTCATTCTTGGAGTTGTGTGAGGTATTTGTTACACCATTGTTTCCAGAAGACATGAAATAGTAAGGGCATGGAAAGCAGTTTGAGTTTGGAACTATGACAGGTGGGACAGAGCTTAGACAGACGGCCAGAAGACTGTCCAGAGCTGGTCCAGAGTTCAGGCGGGTGGCTGTCTGGCACGTGGCAACATCTCAGGTGGGTGGCCGGGAGACCATCCCAACACATGGAAGCTTGGCCGCCTTTGGACCAGTAGAGGGAGGGACTGCGGTAAGTAGACCAGGTGAGAGATCTGCTGAAGGTGAGGCCATTGAAGCTGCATTAGGCATAAAGATCATGGGAGCTGCAGTAATCGTCGAGACAATAGGGGCCGCAGTCAGCGTAGAGACCATGGGGGCCGCAATCGGTAATGGGACCAGGGAGGCTGCAGCAGGCGTGGGGGTCTGAAGATCAGTAGCAGGCGTGGGAGTCTGAAGATCTGCAGCAAGTGTGGAGGTCTGAAGATCTGCAGCTGTCATGGAGACCTGGGGGCTGCAGCTGTCATGGAGACCTGTGGAGCTGTAGCTGTCGTGGAGACTACAGGGGCTGCAACCTTCTTGAGAGGTGTAGGACCCTCCAGAGGCATGGGGCCCTCCAGAGGCATGAGACTCTCCAGAGGTGTGGAAC